GAGAGACGAGGTGACCAGGTGGAGATCCGTGCCCTTCGACAGCGCGACCCCATGATCGCTCGAAGCGGGGCTTTATTGCGCCGTGCTTTTCACGCCACGAAGGAGCTGCTAGAGCGCGAAGGCATTGTAGCCAATTTCGACTCCATGCTTGCTCGCGCCAAAATTGCAGACGGCAGCCTCGCCAACGTGGGCGGCGCCACGCCGCGCAGCGCCGTCTTCGGGGGGGGAACAAGCTATGCTGCCACCGCTGGAAGCAGACGAATCGGGGAGCCGGCTATGCTGCCACCGTGTCAGGGGCGCCGACCCCCTCTCTGCCGGCGGGGAAGCGCAGCCCAGCCGAGCGCAGTGGTGGCGAGTCAGAGAGATCGCCTTACAACGCGTCGAGGTTACGTCCATCTCCCGCGCCAGCCGCGCCCGCCAGACACGCGCCGCCGAGCATGGAGAGGGCCGTTCCAGCGCTGGCGAAGAGGTGGAGATCCACAGGCATCCGAGCACACAAAAAAACGCATCAGGCTGGGTGGGCCCCAGGACTGGCATATCTGTCGATTCGGCTCGAGGCAAGGTAACAGCCGAGTGCCGCCGAGCTGGCGTGAACTGCGGATTGCAGGGCGTCCGGCTCTTCAGCGGTGCCATCTTCCACCAGGAGGAAGTAAGGGACGCGCAGATGACCGCGCAGACGCGGCAACGCCCAGACATCTTCGAAGCTCTAGGCCACGCATATCGCAGATGCTTTGAGCTGCGAGCCATCCGCGCCACACGACGAACTATGCGGCCAGCAAAAAAGGAGATTGCCCGGGCTGCACCCGCAGCCTAGTCATGTGGTGGTTCTTTCGGGGTCTCGGTGTCTTTCAGCAGTTTCACTTCGGCGTCAAGTTCCATGTCCACGCGCTCATCTGCTGCTGCAAGCGTCTCGCTCATCGGCGAGACGCTTGTAGCAACAGGCGCAGGACAGGATCCAGATGGGGTGTTCGATGATTGTCATCGACGCCCTTGGGGGCGCTGTCAGCACCGCTGAGGGGGGATCTCCATCGGTACTGCCGGCCATGCTCGAGGAGCCCGGCAGCTATCTGTCCGGCCGCATCCAGCCAGCGATGTTGTTGGCGTGGCATGCAGTCGAGGGGGCAGAAGACCTGGCCCAGGAGTTGGAGGCGCTGGAGAGCGACGACACCCAGCTCGACTCTGCCGTCGAGCACGTTGCGGCTGGCTTTGGCCGCCGGCCACGCGAGGGGCCCCAGCGCCTCGAGCCGCAGCGCCAGCGTCAAGGCATCTACGCGCAGCGCCACTAATACTTGCGCGGCGCCGCCCAGGATGACTGCGCTACACTGGAAGAGGAGGGCGAACGAGAAAGACGTGGAGACGCGACTTTACCCAAGCGGGCGCTAAGCTTGTTCTAGTTTCAACGAGCAAGCCTTCAGGAACTGCTCTCTTCCCGGCGACTCCTTTGGTGGCTTCTCAACGCGTGCGCAGCCGCCAAGACCGCGGCCATCAAGTCGGCGCCGTTCTCCTGAACGAGGAAGAGGTGTCCAGGCTGTCCAAGGTGGTATCCTCCGCCATCCACGAGGAGTTCATTGCGTCAGTCCAGCACAAGTGTTTCGAACGGCGACCACCCAAGGGCGCCCGAAAAGTCATGGACTCCAGGCGCGTTTGCAAGTGAGAGCACCGGGCGGGCCCCGACGGAAAGTTTGCGCGGATCACCCAGCGCCGCGCGGCCTTCAGGGGCGCCCTCGAGGCTTCCGCGGGGACCGCCGCGGGGACAGCCATGCGCGCCTCGCAGCGCATGCTGTCCACAAGGGTGGCGCGCCGCCCAGACTTGGCCCACGTCGCCGCGGACGTCTAGAATGCATTCCTGCAGCGCACGGCGCTTGCCGAGCTGCGGGAACAAGGCGACGCACCGCGCGACGTGAACTTCGCCCTGCCGCCCGGCAGAGCAGCCACCCTCCGGCAGGCGCCCGGCTACGAGTCCGAGGGCCGAACGCCTGCGCTGCATCGAGCCGGGCGCGGGGTGCAAGGACGCGCCCCGAGCCTTTTCCATGAAACTCGCCTGGGCCACGCGCCGGGCCTGCCGGGTGGGGCGTGGAGCTCGAGGTCAAGCGCGCGGCGCCCAGCATCTGTGTAGCTGGCGACGCAGAGCTTGCGACCACGTTGCCCAAACTCGTCGGCGATCTGAAGATCGCTGGGAATTAGGAGCACGTCGACGAGCTGAGCGGCCACGTCGAGAGCGCCCTCGGCACGATGAAGGGGGGCTCCGACGATTTCACCGACTGTGGCGTTCACCAACACCGCGGCGCCGACGGCGGCGCGATGCTCGGCCAGGCCGAGCGCATCGACGCCCTGATACCGATCAGGCACGTCGACGCGGTGAAAGCGAAGGCCGAAGAGCCCGCGGGAGGTCAATTACCCCACCTCTTCTTCTATTTGCTGGGAGCAGCTGCTTGCGCCTTGCTCGCCCAGCGACGCGCCGCGTCGTGCATCGGCGCTTCCGCGAGCCAATGACAAGCTGCTCGCGCCGCGCGCCATGCAGCTCAGTTGCGTGGCCCTCGCCGCGCAGACGATCAAGGCGCGCCTTCAGGGGGGGGGCGGGGCGTTGCTCGGGGGGCGCCGTTTACGCGCGCCTCGGCACGTGTCGCAATGCCGGCAAGGAGGTCCGCCACGTACTCGACGCCGTGAGCCGCCCGCACGAACCTGCGCGTCGGTTTTCATTATGCCCCAAGCTGCTCGCAGCACGCGGCGCAGCCGATGGGTTGCAGGTCATGCTTTCAGCGTTCCACGAGACGATCCGGGGCCCAGTCTCGGCCGAGGAGATCAGGAAGCGGAAAGGAGGACGGGATGTTTGTCTCTGCGGCCGTCGCCTCGGACATTGCGCGCTCGCCCCTAGAGCGCAGCATGGTAGACGATCAGCGGTGGCACCCTGACCAGATCCGCACCGAGCAGATCACCGATCCGCTTTGGTGCGACACGCGTAGCATGAGAGCCGATCCCACGATGAAGGGGGGCATCGGCTGGGAGCCGATCTTGGGCGCGATGCGCTGGGAACTCAGGCGCGACCGCGCCGCGGCCAGACTGCGCGAGGAGACCGCGCCCAGTTCCCGCCTCGGCGACATCAGGACAAATGAGGAGAACGCATCGCTGACTGGATGAACCGCCAGAAGATTCACTGCACCCTTACCGCGGCATTGGCCGGTATTTCTCGGTCCGCCGACTCAGCTGCCACTTTTCGGTGCGCAGAATCCGCTGTCACTTTTCGGCTGCCGAACGTAAAGTCGGCCGTCGCGCGTCGCGAACTGCACTCGCGAATGCGACATGGGGAGAGGCAAAGACAGCCGCATGGCGCGATCTGCATTCGCGAATGCGACGCGACGCAACAGGACACATGGGTTAACGCCCTCATAAGGCGATCTACGTGCACCTTATGCGGGCGGGTGAGTCGCGCAATGAGAGGATGCGTCCATGAATTGCGTTCGTGGGGCAGCACATTTTCGGCGCGCAGCGCGTTCATCATTTTTACTGCGCCTCTCCAGTTCTCTGCTCTCCTCGTTCCTCTTGCATTTGTTTGAGAGGGGCCTGGTCAGTAGAAGGCCCCTGTCAGGACTGGCCACCTATTGCGGGGTGCGTCAGCCTGCTTCGGGTCGCTCTAGGAGCTTTGCCTGGAGTAGTAGTCGCTCCTTCCTCGCGCGCTGTGCAACTTGTTTCTTGGGGTTTCCACCTTGGGGGCCAACGTGCCTTTGAGCGACGCGAAGTCCAGCAACACCCTGAGCGTGCCGAAATCATGGCTGGCCATCCCGCTCTAACTGTTTCTGAGGCCTCGTTGGTTGCGGCACGGCTTGCGCGCTGTAGCCGACGGGGCACAGGCAAACTTGCTTGAACACCGGACTCGAACGGTAGCCTCTGTTACTCTGCGGTCCGCTCCTCTTTCTTGTCTTAATTTTCCCTCTGCCTGCCTGGCATTCATTATCTGGGCCGGATGCCGTTCGGCTCAAGCCTGGCCAGGCGCCGTGCCCGCATTAGACGCACATTACATGTAGTCGCGTCCGTTCAGGACAAAAACGTCCGTTTACCCAATTCTCGTATGGGTTCTGATTTTGCAACTCTTTGCTCTGCTTGGCCCCAGAAAGTGTCGGAAAAGGGTTTTGGGTTCCAGCCTCGACCGCGGCCGTTCTCCGATCGATTTGCGGGGATAAGGTCAGGTAGACCCGGGCGGTTCGATGAACTTCGATGCGAACCGCGTTGGATCCAGGCCTACCCAACAATGTCCAAGCACACTTGGGCAACTCGTGGAGCATCCAGCGCGAGCCGAGGGGCGGCAGAGCTCGTGAATCCTTCCGCGAGAGCACGGGCCACCGCGGCGGCAGGCGCATGGACGTCGGCGGCGGTCGTCGGCGGACGGATGGCCACGGCGACGGAAGGCCACGTCGGACGGCGACGGGCGGCCATCAGCGGCCGTGGCGACGGGCGGCAACGACGGACAGACGGCGACGGCCGACGGACGGACGGCGACGACCGACGGCGGCGGCGGCGGCGGCGGCGGCGACGACGACGACGACGAGAACGACGACGATGACGACGACGACGACGACGACGAACACGAAGACGACGACCACGACCACGACCACGACCACGACCACAACCACGACCACAACCACTACCACGGCCACGACCCGGCCACGACCACGGCCACGACCACGACCACGACCGCGATTAGGGGAACGAGCAAATAAATAAACATGAAACTCGGAGGTCCGTTCGGATTTCTCGGATCGGCGCTGGGGCCGCCTGGCGGCGCCGCCCTTGGCGCGCTCCGCGCGGCAGGGACGGGGGTCCAGCGCGGATCCAAGAAATCTGCGCGGACCTCCGAGTTTCTATGTTTATACCGTTTTTCCTCAACGACCACGACGACGACCGACGGCGACGACGGATGGCGACCGACCAGCGCCGACTTCGCCACCCGGCGGCCGGCGGCGGCCAGCGCTCGGCTGCGGGCTTGGCCGCCCACGCGCCCCGAGGACTGCATGCTGGAGTGGCATTTCGCGCTCCACTCGCTGCCCGCCGACACGCCCTGGCCTCGGGAGATGGAGAGCCGGTCGGGTATTGCGTCATCGGGGGGCGATACAACCTGACATTGGCGTCTTCATTTTGTCGAGTCGAGCCGGGCGTTTTCGTCCATTTTCGGGCCCCGAGACCCTCCCAGGTCGATCCAGTTCGAAAGAATCCCAGAAACATGGGGTCCAGAGCTCCTGTCGTGAGCTTGCGCGATGTTCCAATTCCTTACGCGCCGTCGGTTCTCAGGAAAGGGTGAGTCGAAGAAAGCCGCACCTGTCGTGCACTTCAGGGGCCCTGAAGGAGCCCCCTGTGGCCCGAAGGGGGCACGAAGGGTGCACGTGTGTTTGCCCCCCGTGTATCATACCCCACCTCCAGTAAGCAGCGCCCAGGCCCTACACCGCGGGCGAGCCGCGCGGGGGGCGCGCGCGCGCGATCGAGAGGGGTGCCGGGCGGCAGGCGGCGCCGAGTGGAGACGACGCCCCCAGCGACGGCGGTGGGCGGGGGTCGGGGGCAACGTCGAGTGGGAATGGGGCAAAAGCGGCCCGGCTCGCATCCTGGCAGTTTGGTCCGTGATCCTCTTCCTCCCCCCTCCCCCTCCCCCCCTCGAATCTGGCGCATCTGCTGCCGCGGGCACGCGTCGGCCGCGCTGTCGCCTCGGTGGCCTGGCCACCCAGGAGCCCAAGGATGGGCGCGGGGCGGGGGGGGGGGCCGCTGTGTTGTCGGAAGCCGTGCAGGCCCGGGCGTGGCTCTCGTCGACTGCGCCTCGTCGACTGGCGCTCCCGCGGCCTGCCGGGATCGTCCTGAGGCCAGGGGTGCTGTGGGAGGGAAGCCGTGCGAAGAGGCGCCCTGCCTGCAGCGTGGCGCGAGAGCCAGGGGGCGGAGGGTCAAGGGTCAGGAGGGAAAAAAAAACACAGACACAATTAATCGTCGATTCCCCAGAAAATATGCGAAAATATGGGAAGTGGGGGGGAAGACAAAAACCCAGAAAATATGGAACAAAAATAGGGAATATTTTTATTTGTGTGTATTTATTTGTGTGTCCCGGGGCCCCTTTAAAGGGCACAGTGCAAACCCATGCCAAGGAACACCCTGCTTGCCTCCGGGGTGCCCCGGGTTTCTTGGGCTTCGATGGTTCGGGTATGGGCAGCGTGACGTTCCCACACCAAAAGGCCACGGACGTCCTGGGGTCTCAGGGTTGGGTTTCTTGTGGATGGTTTCTTGTGGTCGAGCTCCTTCTTCAACTTCTCCCCCGCGACTTCAGCGACGACTGCGGGTGGCGGCGGAGGCCAAGACGGTGTCGAAACCGTCGTCGTTTCGAACGTTCTTGGTTGTTTCCAGACAGGCTCGCCGCCACGGCTTAGCGCGGCTTGGACAATTTAGCAGGACGGACCCCAGGAGGGGTCGGCCGGGGACCGATTCTGGGCGGAGTTCGCTTGGACGACGAGCGCTACGTCGAGCGACGACGACGACGACGACGACGACGACGAGTTGCCACAGAAGGATGTTTGGGTTTGGGCCTCCGGGGCCTGGGGCAACGTTCGGAGGGCAACGTTCGGTCGGGGGACGACTCGTGTGCACCGTGCCGCGCTGACTTCCCCCGAGGAAGAGTGCGGTGCACAGGGTCTGTGCATCGGCGCCCTCCCTTTCAGTGTTCCCTGTTGCATTCGGGGCCTGCTGTTGTGCGGCAGATTGGGTCACAAAGTGCATGCTGTGCTCCGCTTCCATCCCCCTCGCCCCTTTTCCACCCCACTCCTCACCCTCTCCCTCCTCGCCCTATTTGTCCTGCCGGCCCTGTCCCTCCTTTCTCCTGCTCGTCCTCCTCCTTCTCGTCCTCTTATATTATCCTCCTCATCTTTTCTCCTCCTCGTCCTCCTGCTCCTGCTTTTCCTCCTCCGTTCTTCACCTCCTCCTCCTCCTCCTCCTTTTCCTCCTTCTCCTCCTTCTCTCCCCCCTTCGCACCCTCTGCATCCTCCCTTTCTTCTCCCCCTCTATTTTCTCCTCAAACTGCTACCGCTCCTTGGAGCTGTCCTGGAACGTCCGCCGACCAGAACTTCGAGGATGTCCCGCGTGGCACGCAGGTCCCCTCCGAGGTCTCAGCGGGCAGATTCCGGTTCCTCGACTCCCGAACGTCGATCCTCCATCGTTCGATCTTCGAGCTGTCGATCCTCGATCATCGATTATTCGGCGCTCGAATATTCGAATCCTCGGACAACCGGTGGTTCGATCCTTCCTGCGACCCTCGAGCCTCCGAGGCCTCGGGCCCTCGCAAGCCCGCCCGAGGCCGTACCACGGCGGCTGCTACCACGGGCAGCTGCACTTTCCGCCCGAGTACCCGCACGCGCCGCCCTCCATCGTCCCCCCGCCGCCCGCGGGGGTGGGGGGAGGCCCTCCTCCTCCTCCTCCTCCTCCTCCTCTCCTCCTCCTCCTCCTCCTCCCTCTCCCCTCCTCCCCTCTCCTCCCTCC